TTCTTGGAAATGTGGTATTATAAGTTGAACTAAATTCAGAAATTTTAAATCTTTTTAAAAAATGTTTGAAACTATTGTTTGAAGCAAGGTACAATCCCCCTTTGATGAATGCTATCACTATGTATATATAAAATGTACCAATAAAAAAAATTCAAGGAATAAAAAATAAATAAATAAATAAAATAATATTGTTTGGACAATTAAAAAAAAAGGAAGTCAACAAATAACAAGTGCTGGAGGGGATGAGGGGAAAAGGAACATTCTTCCACTGTTGGTGGGAATGTAGACTGGTGTAACCACTGTGCAAATCAGTGTGGAGAGTGCTCAAAAAAAACTAAGATTAGCAGTCCCACTCAAACCAGCTACTCCTCTCTTGGCTATTTTTCCAGAAGAATTAAAAACATCATACCACAGCAAGACACGTGCACCTTTGTTGATGTCAGCACAGTTCATAATAACTAAATCTTGGAAACAGCCCAAATTCCCATCAATTTTTCTTCATTATCTCATCAATGAAGGAATGGATAAAGAAGGTGTCATTTTTATGTAATAGAGTACTACTATTCAGCCACAAAGAAGGGTAAACTTTCTAGGTAAATGGATGCACTTTGATATCTTCCTCTTCAGTGAAATAAACTGGACCTGCAAGTGTAAATACCACAGTGTTTCTGTGGTGTGAGAAACCAAAGGGTAAATAAGGACCAAAATGTATAATTGATGCTGTGAAAGAGAAAGGAATTGTTCAGAAGAAATGAGAAGTAGGGAGAGGGAAAGGGGAAAGGATGGAAAAATAAAAAAAGGATAAAATGGGAACAAAGCTTTATAAATGAGGGGAAAAGGGTTGAAGGGAAGGAAGGGAACTGAAAAAAAAGAGCAACTAGGCTACTCACGTACAGGCGCACACTGCCTATGAGGGACGTGAGTGTTACATACATCCATTTTTTAAAATGTATTTAGGACAGGGTCTCCAGGGTCTCACTACGTAGATCAGACTCCTAGTCCTCCTGTTTTCAGTCTCCCCAGCGCTGGGATTACAGGCGCGCACCACCACACCCAGTCTGAACTGGCGGTCTCAGCACACACGTGGGTGGGGCCGGCTGGTCCCTGCACCTTTAATCTGCCGAGCTATCTGGCCAGCCCCATACATCTAAATTGTACCAATAAACATAATAAAAACAAAACAAAACAGAACAAAAAAGCCCTGCTTTCACTTTTAGAAGAAAATAAATTCGACATTTCCGCCACAAAGCATGTGCAGTCTTTAACTAGCTGTGCTTAAAAGTCTACTTAACTGAGGGCACTGCGTGTTCTAAGCACTAAGTATACAGCAAGAACTTAATGAACTGTGTTCATGAAAAAAAGCAAAGTTGACACCGGATACAAACACCTCCCACGCCTTCTGGAGTGACCGCAGGGTCACTGTAAAGGCCGTCTGAAAGCGCGGTCAACTTACTGGTGCACTTTCTGTTTCTTGTAAAGATGGAAAATGAACTTGAGGCAAAGTGATCTCCTTAACTGTATCACTGCTTCTTAATCGATAGAGTCTGTTCCATAATTTAAATTCTTCTTCTGTTAAGAACCAATCCTCATTTGAGTTATTTGGCCTCACGCCTGTAATGTGGAGGAAAAAAAAAAAAGTTGAAAGTTTAAAAAATATTCAAGGGGATCGCAAAATAAACACATCACCTCAAACTGTATTTGTTTGTGAGCCTATTCACTTCTGCTAAACCAGTTATTCCAATTCTTAATACCAGCATTTGGTATTCAAAACTGCTCTGCGTTGCCACTTTCTGGTTCTACCGCCCTCCTAAGCTTCTCTCACCTCTATCAAAGCAGCCCTCTCTTTGGGGCCAAGCCTGAGTTGATGGAGCTCGCTGAGTTCTCAGGCCCGGCTTCCTTTGCACTCTTAAGAGCTGGTATACAGTAGAATCAGATAACTTAAAAATGAAAACTAGGGGCCAGGGAGATGACTCAGTAGAATAAGCGCTTCCCTGGCAAGGGCAAGGGTCTGAGTTCAATCCCTAGTCCCACCAAAAAAAAATAAATAAATAAATAAAAAAGAAAACTAGTATCATGGTTCTATGAGAGCAGCATTAGAAAAGTTGAAACTATGGGGAGAGGATAAAAGTTAAGACTAAGCTACTCTGGTGACCCAGCCTGGACTGCAGACTCAGGAGGCTGAAGAAGGAGTATTACCCCCAGGACAGCTGGGTTTGTCTCAAAAAAAAAACCAAAAAAGTAAAATCTAAAAAGGGTTATAGGCTTTAGTTTTGAGTAGAAAGAAGAAGAGCAAAGAGTAGGGGGGATAATTTGTTGAAATATTGCAATATACTTTAAGAGCTGTATAAAAGGAATTCTTGGTTTCCATAATCTCTAGAAAACAATCACTAAATAGAAAAGAAACAGTAAGGAAAGGAATTCTGCCCCAGTAGAGACGAGGGCAGAAAAAAAACTGAAAGGTTCCTGAATTAGGAATTAGAAAGGGGAAGAAAAAAGGATCAAGGTGAGACATGTATGTGACACCCACACCCCATGATGTATAAATGCTACATCTTGCAAGAATAACTGATGAAACAAGGGAGAGGGGAGGGAGAAAGGAAAGGGAAAAGTTCTAAGAAAAAAAAAAAGAGAGAAGAAAGGAAACATGGGCCGGGCATGGCAACGCATGCTTGTAATCCCAGCACTCAGGATGCTGAGGCAGGAGGATCATTTAGAAATTGAGACCAGCTTGGGGTACAAAGTGACCTCAAGCCCAGCCTGAGCTGCACAGCGAGACCCTGGTCTCAAAAATAACCAAAAGAGAGAAAAAAAGAAAACATGGAAACAAAGCTTTTATAAATGGAGAGGGGAGGTGGAGTTGAAGGGAGGTTACTGGAATGGGGGGGAAAAATCACATGAAATATTATCACAAATTCTCTACAATGAATGTGATCATTAATGTACACCTAACCTATACCAGTAAAATCTGATTTTAAAAAATTTTAGTAAGATAATGTTTATTTCCAAATTTTAAAAAAGGAACTAGAAAACTTCTGCCTCCAATATTCCCAAATACTGTATAAGACACTTTTAAAAAATGCATCTATTACCTCACCTAAAAGTTTTGAGTTGAATCATCTCTCAGGCCATTTCCAGATCTCAGTGCAAAGACCCCAGGCCTGATTCCTAGTACTCCTACTAATAAAGTAAAGAACGAGTAGAACACACACACACACACAGTCTTGTCAAGAACAATCACAGGGGCTGGGGAGATGGCTCAGCAGAGTAAGTGCTTCCCTGGCAAGCACAAGGTCCTGAGTTCAATCCCCAGATCCACCAAAAAAAAAAAAAAAAAACAAAAACAATCACAGACTCAGGAAAACTGGGAGTGGCAGGAGCACAGCACAGGCAGATGTGGCGGTCTACACCTCTAAGCCCTGCTGTTCAGGAGGCTGAAGCTTGGGGACTGTGAGCTTGGGTTCCAGCAGCTTAGTGAGCCTCTCAATTTTTTTTAGAAAGCCTGGGGATGTAGCTCAGGGCAAAAGCCCAGCAATTCAATGGCCAGCGCCGTTTTATTTTATTTTTATTTTGGCGGAACCAGGGATTGAACTCAGGCCCTTGCACTTGCCAGGGAAGCGCTTATTCCACGGAACTATCTCCCCGGCTCCCCAGCGCCATTTTAAAAGAGAAAAAACCCCAGGGAGCAAGGCCAGCTTGGGTGTGGCAGGGGCCATGCTAATCTTCTCTATCGTTCCAATTTTAGTATATGTGCTGCCGAAGCAAGCACAGCAAGGCCAGCTTGGGGCGCAGATCTGTAACCCCAGCCATCGGAGCGGCTGCGGCGTACGGATCACATGCGGATGGCTGCGGCATACGGATCACATGCGTGAGCCTGGCCAGGACAGCTCTGACGTGGCAAGGCCCTGCCTCAACATCACAAAAGACTGGAGATTTAGTCTCGTTCTTTCTCTTCTCACTTCCCTCCTCCTCCGAGTTGCCAGCCTATCTTCAATTTTCCCCAGTGTGAGGGTCTCTTTTTTGTTTGTCTGGGATTTTTTCTTCCACGGGGAGGTGAGGGAGAGCATGGGGTGTGGTGCGCATTCTGGGTGCTGAACCCAGGGCACCCTGTCACTGAGCCTCTCTGCTTCTAATTTGGAGACAGGACTTCAGCACGCTGCCCAGGCTGGTTACAACCTTCTCACCCTCCTGCTTCAGCCTCCTGAGTAGCTACTTTAGACCTGCACCCACAAGCCAGCTACCACAAGGGTTTCTAACCCCTGGGCTCACAATGTTGCCTTCCTTTTGCTACAAGAACAACTTCTTACCCTTCTAAAGACTGCACCCAAAACCAAAAATAAAACCAAAGACAGCACCCAGCACATCTTAGAACATATACTGAAGTTTGCAATGGAGAAATATTATATCAAGTTATGATCTGCCAACTAAGAACAGGGGAAGAAAACGTGACAAATGCAACCCTGTCTACTTACCATTCCTGCAGGAAGGGAGAGAAGACCTACGCTTCCCATTCCGGGCAGGCTTCTCGGGCTCATAGGCGCCGTGAGTGATGAACATCTTGTGCAGTTCTGGGCTGACACCAGCAGGAACCATGCGGGGGCTTCTTTGGTAAAAACGAAGGACTTGTCTGCTACCTGAAATGGCTTTATAAATAGTTCTTTTGTTGGACTGACTCTGATTATAAGTCTACAAAAACAGATACAAAATCTCTAATTACATTATTTCCATAATTATCATTGAGTCATAAAAAGCAATTATTATATTAGTTTGGATTCACTTTTAGAACAGAAAATCAAACCAATTCGCTTGCATGCTTGAAGAACAAAATTACTTCTTTTCCTATTTTTTAAATTTTTTTTAAAAAGTAAACTGTTAGATAAACCTTTCTTTGCTGTCCTTCTTTTTTTTTGGGGGGGCGGGGGGGTACCAGAAAATGAACTCGACCTTGCACTTCCCAGACAGGCGCTTGTGCTGCTGAGCTATATCCCCGGCCCTAACTAAACCTTTGATGCAAAGCCATTTTTAAATCTATTATTATAAAAGCTTATCTCAGCAACTATATTGCACGAAGGAAATCTTATTTTTTATTTATTAACTTGCTGCCTTGAATAATGCTGACATTTTCAGATAAGTATAAAGTCATGCCTGCACTAACAAGAACAATTGCTACAAAAACAATTTCTTACCCTAGAAAAGTTTTTGTGTTTTTCTTTTTTTGTAGCAGTGTGCATTGAATATAGTGCCTCCACACTGAGTTACAGCCCCAGCATTTTTTTACACATTTTCTATTGAGGACCAAGGATATCGCTCAGCGGCATAAGCACCTGCCTGGCAAGTGCAAGGTTCTGAGTTTGATCCCCAGTACCAAAAAAAAAAAAAAAAATTATATTGAGACAACACCTGCTAAATTGCCCAGACTGGATCAAACATGTGACTCTCCTTCCTCTGCCTCCTAGGTTCCAGAGATAACAGGCATGTGTCTAGCGGCACAGTTTTTGGTTTTTTAAACTACATTTTTATTTCAATTCCTTCATCTCTTTCGTTTCTACGTTTTCACTGCATGCAGCAAAGCATGACTATCCTTACAAAGTACTAACCTGGCTAAGTAATGAATCTGAAGCACTGAAAACATTGCATATGGGGCTAGGGAGATAGCTCAGTGGTGTAAGTGCCTGCCTGGCAAGCCCGAGGACCTGAGTTCAATCCCTGATACAGCATGCCGTGCCAGTCCAGAAACGGCATGACAGCACATGCCTGCAATTCCAATCCTGGGGAGGTTAAGACAGAGAATCACTATGAGTCTGAGCTATGAGACCTTGTGTTGTATAAAATAAATAATATTAAAAAAATATATTGCATAGAGTAAGTCAGCCATTATTATTACTTTATAAATAAAAACTCTGAGATGAAGTGACTTGGCCAGATAACTGGTCAGAACCCAGCTGTATTTCTTGGTAATGTATGGCCACCAAACATGCCACTCATTAAATTCATTTCATGGATAAATGGTGTATTACACATGAGGGCTATGATCACATAGCAAGCACAGGAGAAAGCATTCATTCTTTGCCACGCATCACAGTGCATGCTTAGAATCCCAGCCCTGTGGAGGCCAAGGCCGAGGCAAGAGAATCCCAACTTGGAGTCCAGCGCAGGCAAAGAGAACTTGCCTCAAAATTAAAGACAATTCAAGGACTGGGCTACAGCTCAGTTGTAGCTCACTGCAAAGGCCCTGGATTCAGTTCCTAGTACCACCACCAAGGGAAGATGCTCACTTGCTTTAAAAGGACACACAAAACACTTAAAATCAGTTTCCAAAAACTAGCAAGCCCAAGGACCTGAGTTCAATCCCCAGTACTGCATGCTGTGAGAGTCTGGAAACTGGGCGTGACAGCGCATGCCTCAATATAGATAACGAGGGGATTTTTAATGTGAACACTTTATGGCAGCAAATACAAAATACATATGTTAATATATTTAGGAAGTCCTGTCACCCAAGATTATAGCAAAATATGAAGAGAATTAAAAGTGCCATTGACTTAGACATAGGCTTCAGAATAGACATCAACGAACATCAATAAAGGATCAGAAAAGTAGTACCGGGGCTGGAGAGTTGGCTCAGCAGAATAAGTGTCCACCTGGCAAGCACAAGTGCCTGAGTTCAATTACCAGTTCCACCAAAAAAAATAAAACTAGTACCGTATTTTAGGTTTTGTAGCTCACACAGTATCTCTAGTGCATATTCCTTAGTGTATCTGGTTACTGTTTTCTATAGTTTACAAAAACCTAAATTAAACAGAAAAGGCAAGTCTTGTCCCAAGCGTGGCCGTGCACCCTTGTAACCTCAGCGCCCTGGGACTTGCAGCATGGGATTCACAAGTCTGAGCCCAGCCTGGTCAACGTAGTGACTTAGCAAGATGCTGTCTCAAAATAAAAAAAGCAGGGGCTTGCGGGTTAGCTCAGTTGTTTAAACACCTGCTGGGGCAAAAACCCTGGCAGGCACAGGGGACCACAGTTCAATCTCCAGCTCCCCATGCCTTACCAAACCTGCACTTCAGGCAGCCTGGGACAGCCAAAAAAAAAAAAAAAAAACCCTTCTAAATAAAAATGGCTGAGGATTTAGTTCAGGGCAAAGGGCCTGGGCTCAATCCCAAGTGTCACAAATAAATACACAAGAAAAGCATTTTCAAAAACCAAGCCTTTGAAACACAGGGAAATAGTTCATTAAAAAAAAAAAAAAAAACAGCAATACCTGCTGGTTATTGTCTCTAGATTTCTCTGAATTAATATTGAAGTATTATGACATGTTTCTTTATATGGATAAAAATTAGAACACTAAACCCAGCCAAAAATCATGATTTTTTTTTTTTTCCTTTTTAGTTGTACTGAATGCAAGTCCTGAGCCTTTGCACTGAGCTACATACTTCTGCAGGCTGTTTTACTTTTTATTTTGGGAGAGGGCCTCAAAGTCCCAGAGTACTAGGAGTGCAGGTGTGCACCACCACAGCTGAGGCCACGGCACCACAAATTCAAGTCCAATTAGTGCAACTAAGTAGCTGGAAAAATCCTTGTCTTAATGAAAAAGCCTAGAGATACAGCTCAGTGTGAAGGCCCTGGGATCAACTGCCAGTCCTGGAAACATGGGAGGAAGGCAAGAGGGGACAGAGTAAGCTCAGACTAAATAAACCAGTTACCTAAAAACTGGACTTCAAATGCTGCGACACCGTTAGTTCTCTTCAGCCTGCACTTCTCAAGCCTTAAATGTCACACCACGTTTCCAAAGGCTACTCACACGCTCCTCCCGTCCTTCAGCAAGGATCACCACAATCCTGCCCTGGCGCTTACGGCCGGTTCTACCCATTCGTTGTATCAGTCGGATTGGGCTCTTCTGGGCATCGAAGCATACGATGAGGTCCACTTCCCCTATGTCCAAACCTTCCTCACCCACGCAGGTGGAAACCAGTGTGTTGTACCCACCAGCGCGAAATCGCTTCACTACCTGAAATGAAGAGGATTGAAAAATTACTAGATGTAAACTAAGAGAAACATAGTATATTGCTCCCACTCACCCCAAAATGGTAAAATCAGATTAAAAATCAGCACAAAAGATACCACAGATTATAAAAAACAAAACGGCAATAAAAGCCAAAGGAGATGGTGGACCATGCCTAGAATCCCAGCAGGGAGCAGGATCATCACAAGTTGGAGGGCAGCCTGGACTACATGCTACATTCAGCACCAGCCTGAGACTCTGTCTCAAAATATCAAAAACAAAAAAAGACCTTCCTCTGCTTCAAACCTTCCAATGACTTCTTACAGCCCTCAGTCATTAAGACAGAGCTGACCACGAGGGTCCTCAAGGCCCTGCCTCTCCATTTCCTCTTGCTTTTACCTCCTATTTCTAAATAAGTGGACAACGACAGAACTGTATGCAAGAAAGCTCAGCTAGAATTAAACAGCTGTTATAAACATAACTGCGTAGAAGAGTGACTTCTACAAGGCAGGTACTCTGGCCTGCAGTCCAGTGGGGGCAAACCTAAGGCCCACGGGCCACGGCACAAACGGTGCAGAACGCACCAGCAGTGCACAGTTGCACCTACTCGCCAAGTTGCCACCTCGCAGTAAGTGAGTGGGTTTGGGTTACAGTTTGGGCACTTGGTCTCTGAAGGATTCGCCATCACTGGCCTGCACAGAAACACTACTGAGGGAGGGTGCAGCTCCACAGGAAAGGAGCCACACCCAGCACCACACAAGAAACTGAGAACAGGAGTAAGGGATGAAGTGATAAGATCAGTAGATCTCTGTGTGTGGTGACATGAAGATCCTCCCAAGTTCTCCACCACTGAGCGCTATTTTAGCTCCCAGGAAGTTTCTTATCATGCCTAACAAGCTGAGGACATAATGACTACAAAACACTGAAAGTGGCAAAGGCCAGGCGTGGTGCACGCACCTGTAATCCCAGTACTTAGGAGGCTGAGGCAGGAGGATCACAGAGGTCTCATTTAATGCTTACAACAATCCCGTGTTTATAAATGAGAAAAACTGAAGGACAAGGAGTAACTTGTAAGTGGATTCTACACTAAGATGTAGGACTAGAGCATTTCTGCATAACTATTACACTTTATAGTACTTAAATGTTTCAAAATCACCATAAAACATTACACTCTGCTTACAAACAGTAGTTTCACAACTGCTTAAAACACCTCATTTGGTCTTTCAAAAAATGCTTACCTTCATTTTCAAGTTTACTATAAAATCACTGTCTTAGACAGGGTCTCACTGTGTAACTCAAGCGGGCATCAAACTCGTGGTGACCCTCCTGTCACAGTCTCAGTGCTGACACTACAGGCATGTGCCACATCACAGCTAAAATTACTTTTAAATAAATACCCAGTTGACAGTGAGCTAGAACAAAGAAGCATAATGACTAAGCTAACCAATTTTATTTTTCTCTGTGTCTAAAAATAATTACCTCCAGTTGCTCCTTCTGGGTGAAACCTTTCATGCCTTTCCCCGAAGCGTGGCCAACGAAAGTCATTACTCTAATAATTGGCTTATGTCTTAAAAGCATTTCTGCAATTTCTTGAACACTATCTCGAAATGAAGAGAAGATCATAACTCTGGTCTCATCACATTTCTTTCCAGCGGTGTTCTGAGCTATATAACAGAAAGAATTTTAAAC